AGATGAAGTCTCACTCTTGTTGCCAAGGCTGGAGTGCAATGGCGCTCTCTTGGCTCACTGCAACCTCTGCCTCCCAGGTTCAAGTGATTCTCCTGCCTCAGCCTCCTGAGTAGCTGGGGTTAAAGGCACCTGCCACCATGCCTGGCTAATTTTTGTATTTTTAGTAGAAACAGGGTTTTACCATGTTGGCCAGTCTGGTCTCGAACTCTTGACCTCAGGTGATCTGCCTGCCTCGGCCTCCCAAAGTGCTGGAATTACAGGCATAAGCCACCGTGCTTGGGCTGAATTTAGTCTTTCTTTAAATATTTAAGATCTTGATGGATTCAGAGGAAGCCAGTGGAGGTTGAATTTTAAGGGAACTACAGATGCTGTTAGGTAGTTTTTCATTTCTTACAGCTCTTTTCCAAGTATAACTTTGATCCCAGGCTCTCTGGTTCTGACATATGGAAATGGTTTGGTCTCTGTGATGTTCAAGTATTGTTCCCTCCTCATTCTGGATGGCCACATTATGGAAAAGATGGGGAATCTCTCCTTCCAGGTGTACTTTGAATACTTTTCTCAGCTTCCCCATGAACGTGTTTCACTTCGTCACCAAATCAATTGATTGAGGTCAGTGGAATGACATGAAAGGGGAAAATTATATAGGTGGGTTGTTCTCAGGCTCAAACCATGAATGATCCCAAGCAGCATTGCATGTTGGACAGAGGGCAGCCAGCCTGCTGCAACTGTGCAGTGTGGAACACCTACAGCAGCTCATAAAACCCAAAGGGCAGAAAACAGGATATCCTCATTTGTGCTTTGCAGGAAAGGAACACAGACTATCAGTGGCTAGGCTTATCATTTTTCCCCCAAATTTATTTGAAAAATAGACAAAATTGAATGTATTTTTTGGGTACGACGTGATGTTTTGAAGTATATACACTGTGGAATGAGTAGATCTAGCTGACATATGCATCACCTCAATTGTCATTATTTTTGTGTTGAGAAGGATTTTTCTTTTTAGGAAAAAAACCTCTCTGCATTCCATCTTATCTTTATTTTAAGGGAACACTAATTGAATGAATTCTCATTGAGGGGATAAAGGGGGAGACTAAGATCCTTTGGAAATGGTTAAAGCCGTTAAGCATGAAATTTGCGAACTGTGACATAAATTATTTAGAAATTTTCCCCAAATTGCCCACCAAAGGGCCAACATAAATCCTTTTCTAGAGACAATGCATGATCTCTCAAAATACCTAGGTTTTTTTTTGGGCAGAATAATTGTGTGTGTGTGTGTGTGTGTGTGTGTATGTTTTGCTTGTGAGAGGATTCCGGAATGTGGATATTTCTTAATATTGCTTTATGATGGTTGAGTTCAAACAAGAAGAATTCTGAGAAAAAGATCAGTATGACTTGTTAGCCACCAATTTATCATCTACCTATACAAGATTTAATGGTAGTGTTAACCCGAAGTCTCAAGAATAATTAGAGCCTAAAACAAGTCCTTAAAGTAAAGAGATGAAAAGAGCTATATAGAGAAGGCTGTCATGAAATAGAAATTGCACGAGGCAAGGGAACTTTCATCGTGTTGAGTAAGTACTTTACTATGGGATTCTTTTTTAAATTAAGGTGCCTGATAAGTTCGATGAAAATTAAATATGTATGATTAGCAGGGATTACCTTAGCCCAGAGTAGTTGGAAACGAGTGGAAAAGGGACAGAGAGGTGCTTTTTCTTCCCCCAAGTCATTACCAGCTTTAGTTCACAGAAAAGTTATTTCAAATACTTGCTTTGAAAGGCTGCTTTGAGGTCTGCTTTTAATTTGAACAGTTAAATATCATATTCATGCCAATGAGTCCTTTTTCTTGTTTTAATATCATTAGGAAGAGAGCTTTCCTGGCCAGAGTAGAGAGTGTAATTGCTTAAAAGAAGAAATATATAACACACATACTTAATAAAAACCTTTAAAACAATTTATGTTGGCTAGGCACCCTCATTTACATAAGACAGGCTTTTAGTTTTTAAAACTAAATTACATTGAACCATATGGAAAAAATCTCCAGAATAAAATTGTAGCAAATAAATAACCTCTCACAGCTCTTGGTTGGGCCTTCTCTGGTTGTTTCTGTTTGGGCTGCAGGGTAATTTTACAGGAATCCTTTATTTTGCAAATGCAATTAGAGTCAGCCACACTTTATATAAGCCGGAAAAGCCTCTCAGAACAAGGCAGTGTTCATCCTAAAACTTTGGTCACAGGTACTTTGAAATTTACTATGTTTTCCGATGCTACCACAAATGGGAAAATATTTGTTTTCATTTAAAGTCATTTAAAAATATTTTTAAAAACAGAATGAATCATCACTTTTCCTAGCTCAACAGATTGCTGTCTGCATGCACAACGCTTCCTGCTGCTTATGACTAAAGGGAAATGACTTTGGCACTTTATCTGTGATGAGCGATTGTAGTTGCAATTGCCTGTGAGGCACCAAGACACCTGCCACAGCATCCTTGGGTGTTTTCTTGTGTAAGGCAGTCCTCACCAGACAATGTGAGGGCAGCAAACCAATATGCCACCAGATAGAGGCAGGTGGAATGTTCCCATTAAGAGAATGAGCTTTGGAATCAGCTGGATACAGGTTGAAATTTTTACTTTACTTATGAGTTTTTGGACACATTACTTAACCTTTTAAACCTTCCTCTCTTGGAGACTTTAACGGAGTCCTCAGATATTGTCTAACTCTGGCCCCTCTTCTCCTGCAGTCAGTACCTTGCCCCAGGCATAGATGGTTCCACTCAGCTTGGGACTGCCTTCCTAGATCCTGGGCACTTCAAGACACTGTTGAGGCCACCTTGTTTCTGTTAGGCAGCTCTACTGTTCACAGCCCAGGGCAACCCCATGCCAGTTCTTTCCCAAGCAGCCCACATCTGGTTGATGGGAAACACACATCTGTATACTGAAAAACTCTTGCTGATCCCAGTGAAGCAGAATGCCCCTGGCTCTGTCACCTACATAGTGCATTGGCCCCTCTCAGTCCCCAGTTCTTGCCTGCTTTTCCCCTCTCCAGCATGAGCCTCCCAACTGCAGGGAACACATTTCATAGCTCTCCGTGTAGCACCATTGAGTCCTCCTTAATGAAGTCTCTCTTAATTAGGCTTCAGATGGGAAGGTAGCGGCTCCTCTTATGAAGGCGGGTGGGGAGTCTGCAACAACAGAGCCTTCCAAAGGAATTCCTTCGGTAATCTCATCTCAGAATCCTCCCTCTGACCACCTTTTATATTCCTGATTTGATGAGGTTGTCCTTCATTCCTGCTGTGAATTCTGCACAGGATGGGAGTGGCATCTATATCCTTGTCCATATTATCTTGGTAATCAGTTTCAACTGAGTTGGGAAGAGTCTTCATCCTTATCATACACACGTCTGGCTTATTTCAGTTAAAAAATAAGCAAACATTTCCTAATAAATACAATTAAAAATATATAAACATGACACCAAAATTAAGTCACTGCAGCACATTTAACATCTTTGGGCAGGTAATCCAGCGCTTTGAGTTTGATTTGGCCATAAAAACAAGTCTGCACAAAATTGGCCTGAAAATTGTCATAAAAAGAAATGAACGTTAAAACTGTCCCAAATTCACATCATGAACTTTTCCTTTAAAAGTAATATTTACAGGCTTGGCACCCAACCTATACATGAGATTGGAGGCAAACATTTCATTTGCACATATTCATGAAATGTCTTTGATGATGTTGAGCAAAGAGTAGATAGAATTGAGGTTTGCTTTAAAAATATGTAGCAGGGATCCCTGTTTCAGCATGAGCTGGGTTTACCTCTGGGATCTAACAGGTCTAGATGTGCCTGGCATACTTGGGGTCAGCCTGACTGGAGTCTGAGCTGGAGATGCTATGATGCCTCCCAGGAGAGAACTCGTTCTCAGGGAGGGAAGTGTCAAGCAGGCAAGCTTGGACCAGTTAGAAAGCCTCAGCCATCACATGGAAAGGACAATTCTGAGCATGGCAGGATGCTGTCACTTGGATTTGTCCCCCCAGGGACTCAGATACATGAGTCCTAGGGAGAGAGGGGGCTGCAAGTAGAAACTGAAAGAACTATTTTTACTAAAATCTTTAGAAACACTGAAGACTCAGATGAGCTGACTATCCTGAAACCCCAACCACCCTCTGGGCTTCCTTGCTGGGCAAAGCAGGCCATCTTCCTTTGTCTACTGAGACTGATATGGTCTGGCTTAAAGATGGCTTAG